GGGGCAGAGGGGAGAGAGTTTTTGCGTGCGCGGCGCCGTCAACAAAAAGAGAGAAAAAAGGCACCGAAACAGTTACAGCTTAGTTCTATCCTAATTCAAAATTGAAATCACCATATCCGCGCGCGAAAGAGCGACGCTGAAAAAGAAAATCCTATGCCTATTCGTATTCGCACAAAATTCCGAGAGTTTTCCCTGACGCGACCAAGAACATTCACACACACGAAAAGGACACGTCGATGTTCCGCTTATCCCGGAATTCCCAACTTCCGAGCCCAATTCCCAGTGTGCTCACTAAGGCGCACATAATTTCCTATGTATTTCTCGAATTGCAGAAAGGAAAAGCAGAACCGTCGAAAAAGCTTCCGAAAGATGGGAGCCAAAAATGCGGTACCCAAAATCAAGAAAACGAAACGGGGTTTTTGTGGGGTTCGTATGATACAAGCAAAAAAAAAGGGGTACGAAAGATAGCACGGTTCGGGAAGTGGTTCGTCACATATGTGACGCGCAGGGGGTTCCAAAATTATGCGATCTCCTGATTGCATGTCATGGCGGAGAAGGAGAGAGAGAGGGAGAGAACAGAGTGATGCATGAGGAACCAAGCGTATCAACAAATGATCCGGCCAGAGTCCATGTTGACGCCAGCTTCAATTGCAATCTTTCGTGGGTTCGTGCTGCTGGACTACTCGATGGTCATCCAGGTGACGCCATCATCGTCCGCCGGTTCTCCGTGTGCTCTGCACCCCAGTTTATCGCTGCCCGTCGAATCAGAGAGTGAGTTGACGTCATCGTCGATGGCGGGATCTTTGCGAAGCTTACTGATTCGTGCCTTTTTCCCTGCTGATTGGATGAAGAGGGGAGAGAAGGGGGCGGGGGGGGGAGAAAAGAGATAGTCACGGGACCTACCTCCTAGTTGGAATTGGCCAATAGAGGCGGTACATGGAGGGGATTTCACGGGGACGACGGGGAGGAAGTGGGGGTAGGAAGCGATTCATCCCTTCCATCGTCACCGGAAGCTCCTCATATCGGATGATCCGATGGAAGTGGGGGAAGTGATCGCCGCTGCGAGGGAGGGAAGAGAGGTAGTCACGATAGAAGGAGGAGAGGGTGCGGAAAAACGCCGCTCGAAAGAACTCAAAGTGGCGATAGGCGGGGATTGTCCCCGTGGCTACGCAGTAGACTTCTACCACGTTGCATCGTTCCTAGGCAGCGCTGAACAGCAGGATATGCCAGCAGAACGTGGGGGCAGTGGGTTGAAGGGATGCGTGGGGGTAGACGGTAGCGAGTAGGTGGGTAGAGTAGAAGTCGCGGAAGAGATGGGGGAGGAAGGGATGGGGAGGGAAGGTGACGGGGGTGCGGATCTGCTCGAGGGTGAGAAAATCAAGGGGTCGACGGGATAGCGTCCGAGGACGAAGGCCTATCGCCCGCATCTGTACGTGGGCGAAATGAGGGACGGGTGGGGCTGGGGGAGGAGGGGGATCGGCTCCGTCTCCGTCGCGCGGTACTGGAGGTGGCGGCTGCAGGGTCGCCATCTTCGGGCTTTGGCGGCTCCGGATCTCTGGTCGTATCGTTGCCGATGCGCAGGCTGGCTTCGCTGGTGAACTCCAGCTGGCGCTTCCCGGTGGTAATTTCATCGCGCTTTCGCGCCGCTTTCGGATCTTCGACCTCCGTTCCCGTGCGCGTCGCTTCCTCCGGCAAGGCTTCCCACTCAGAGTCGGTTTCTTCTTCCTCTTCTTCTCCTTCACTCAGCTCGCCCTCGCTATATTCGCTATAGCTTCCCTCCTTCGATGTTTCCTCGTCTTCGTCCTCCTTGTCGTCGTCGTCGCCGATCACCACTTCCTCTGCCCTCGGATAGAAGGCGTGAGGGATGATATCGTACGGCTTCAGATACTCCTGCCGCGACGGCAGCGTGTCTTCGTCCCTGAGCTCCTCCAAGCACGCAGTCCACTGAAGATATGGATCTAGTGACCGCTCGAGAACGTGCGGAGCAGGATTGTCGTCACTCTGTGAATAGATGTCGGGCGAGTCCGCCAACTGCACGATCGGCGCGATGAGCTCCTGCGCAATCAGCTGGCGGCGCCCGGGCCGTACCGATCCAAAGAGAAAGCCAAGAAGATCGCCCTCCACGTTAGTCCTCCAAGCTTGGAGGATCAGCAGCTCTGGATTTTCGATCCACGCAGGATGCTCGCCGGTCTGCGTCCACGTCACCTGTACTCTGGCCAAGCAAAAAGACAGCTCCTCAAAAGTTTCACGCCACAGCTGCCAATGCCCAGGATTGATGAGAGGGACTGAAAGAGGCTCGAATGAGAAGGAAAGAGAAGGATGAAGATCGGATTGCCAGAAGGTGGGGAAGAGAGAGGGGAGACCAAAGATAGAGAGAGGGGCGAGAGGATTGGCGTGGTTCATTGGGGATGTGGGAAGGGGACGAGGGTGGGAATCATAACTGGCCGCTCGCGCGGAGAACGGCGGATGTCGCCAAGATCCGGCGCAAAGGTCGGGATGAGATTGTGCCCAGGTCGGGCGAGAACGTGCTGCCACACGTTGGACACCTTCTCCGTCCACTCGCGCAGTGAAGTCAAGATCGCGGTATGCCTTTGCGGATTGACCGAGCTGATGTCGCCGCTGAACGCCGCGATCGTGATGACGTAGCTCGATCTGGGAGCCACTCGCCGTCGAACTGTGATTACCTCCGCAAATACTACTGCGTGAGGACTCCCCTCGATTCGAAACGCGGCGGCGGCACAGATACCCACGTCGCAGAAAAATTGCGCCAAATGCCGAAGATCCGTATTGAGCCGAGGATGACAAACTTGCCGGATCTTCGAGATGTGGCCACGGGGCTGCAACAGCTGTACGTCCAGAACCTGCTCCGTGATGAAACTCATGGCGAGGTCGGAGAGGAGGACGAAGGAGAAGAGGGAGAAAGAGGAGAGAGAGTTAGATCGTCGTCGTTCTCCTCGCTTTCCAAGGAAGAAGGGGGATGGAGATCAGAAGGAGGAAGAAGACGGAGGTAGGAGGTATGCCGGACGATGGGGACAGAGCTATGGCTGGCACTAGCCTCAGGCGCGATGCGCACCGTGTTGGCGCAGTTGGGTCTGAGCTCGACAACGCGAAAACAACCAGAAAACTTGGGAGCGAGTTTCCAGTCGCGTGCACATTTACGTACCTACACTGGGTCCCCTAATTTATATTGATGCTGGGGCCTAGCATTTCCATTCCGAGCCTCGTAGCTACGGACCTGTCTACCGTGGGCCAGTTCGGTCATCCTTTGCCTTTTTCGGGCTAGCTTCGGGACGGCCCGTTCCATTAATTCGGTGTACCTTTTGGCCTTGGCCTTGAGAGCTGCACGCGTGTCTCTACCCCCTGCTTTGGCAATTTCCGAGTTACCCCGGTAGTCGACACAGGGGAGGCTATTAGTTCGAAGCTGAAAAGGGGTAAACCCCGTGGACTCGTGAGGGGTGGCCCGGTGGATCCCGACGATTTGATATACGATCTCGGGCCAAGGACGCGTGTCGTGTGTCGCTAAGTTCTTGAGAAGGGTGGTTTTAATCATACGGTTGGCATTTTCGGCCAACCCGTTCGACTGGGACACGTGGGGTGCCGTATGTCGGAGCGTGACGCCCCTTCGCGCAAGCAGTTCTTCTACCTCACCTTTGAATTTAGACCCATTGTTGGTCATAATTTCTTTCGTATCTAGATGGATATAGAGGAACCATTCGATGTACGTGGCTATTTCTGCGGCTTTTCGGGTCTTACAGGGATAGACTTCGATGTATTTGGAAAAATGGTCTATTAGTACTAACAGGATAAAATATTCACAGCGGTTTGGGCCAGGTGGCACGTCAATATCAATCGTGTCCATATTGACTCCCTGGAAAGGACGCTCTACTTCCGTTGGTACGATCGTGTTTGGTCCCCGTATAGGGGCGCGATCAGCGGCACAGACCAGACAGTTAGCGACAATGTATTTGACATCATCTCGTATATTGGACCAGATCCATCGGTTCTGATCTACCGTTGCCTCCGTGACACGTATCGCGAAATGAGCGGCCTATTCTTCGTGAGCATATCGGATCCAATCATATCTCTGGAATGGATGGGTAACCGTCAACCACGAACCCGATCCGTCAGTTTTACGTTTTTCCAAATGACCGTTGACCCATCGATAGCAAGGAATGGGGTAGTCATGATGACAGAGGAGGAGAGATAGGACTGAATTAGTCCTCGTGCCACTTACGGCTTCGACAGGATCTCCACTTGGCCGTACCGAGGTCCGATCTCTTGTTCGGGTTCGTTCTACGGAATCACCTCCTCACCCTTCGGAACTTTCTCAGGCCGGTGCAGTAGTGTCAGTCCGTCCGCATTCCCGTGTCTCTCGTGCTTCCGATGACGAATGTCAAAGTCCATGCTCTGCAGCACCATTGCCCATCGCCCGATCATGCCCGAGTAATCCTTCAATTTCTTCAGAGCCAACAGGGGCTCATGTTCAGTTACCAAGGTGAACTTTCACCCGTACGGGTAAGCGCAAAAGTGGCTGATTCCCCAGAGAGCCGCGTAGCATTCCCCCGTTGGAGCGGCGTAGTTGCGCTTGCAAGCGGGCACCGATTTGGACGCATACTCCACCACACTCTCGAGTCCGCTTGGTCCCACCTGGGCAAGGATTGCCGAAATTGCCTCTGGCTGCCAGTCGGTGATGAGAACAAAAGGCTTTTCGGGATCCGGTCTTATAAGGACCGGAGCCGAAATGAGAGCGGCCTTGAGTTTGGAAAGCGCTTGATCGCATTCCGGCGTCCAGATCAATGGCTGATCTTTGCGTAGCAGATTCGTGAGGCGTCCCGCAATCGCCGCGGAGCCCTTGATAAATCGTCGGTAGTACGAGGCCAGGCCCAGAAAGGCGCGAAGTTGCATGATAATCGTAGGCACCGGCGCATCCCTGACAGCTGCCACCTTCTGCGGCTCCGGCTGGAGTCACTTGTCTGTCACCACGTGCCGCAGGAAGGAAATGGTGGTGAGGAAAAACTGACACTTCTCAAGCGCCACTTTGAAACCCGCATCTCGTAGCACGTGCAGTGCCCATTCGATGTGCTGCACGTGTCCCTCGTAGGAACTCGAGTACACCAAGATGTCATCCATGTACACGATCACGCAGTAGTTGATGATGCTCTGCGCCAAACGAGTCTTCCGCACGAAATTCTAAAAAACCATGTTCATGGCGCGCTGGAAGGTCGCGGGGGCGTTGCGGATACCCATTGGACATCGAATCCACTGCCACGTTGTCAGCGCGAATACCCTTACAAGGGTATCCGCCCTGGTTTTTGCAAGCGATAGAAAATAGTTTGGTTTAAAGTTTAAGTATACAGCGCTAGGCGCGACCGCGTTTGTGAGTTATGTTGACTAGGTGGTTGACTACAATAGGGAGTGCGTGGGCGCGCAGGTTTAAGGCGCGCGTGATTCCTTCCTTAACTATTGATTATGAAGTTGGCGCTGACGCCGGTCGTGTGCTTGACGTTATTACTATTTGTCTTATTACTCTTGTTCAACCTAGGATTTAAGGATATTTTTCTTTTGATTAGTGTTTGCGCGCGTGCGGAGAAACGACCTCGACGACGGCGTCGGCGACGATGTAACTTCTGACGGTGTGTCGGTAGCCCGGCGCGTCGTGCAGTGCCCGCTTATTCAGGCGTCCGTCAGAGCTGGACCCAGACTTGGGCTAGCGGTACTTGCCACGACGTCGGACTTTTATTAGGGAGGCTCAGGGATCGAGGACGAGTGGGGACAATGTGGGAATATCAGAGTGATGTGAAGGGACGAGGGGGGTGAGGGTCCGACGGGGCTATTCCCCCGGGTTTTGACGTCGACCGCCTTTGGACGGGGCTAACATTTCCGTTTTCCCCGCTCAGGCGTGGTTTGACGAGCAACAGTTCTAAGTATTCTCTGCTACTATTCTCATGCATTGGCGCCCTTTGACTTGTAGGTGACGCCGGGCCTAGCGGTCGCCGCGGCATTCGAGGACCTTGAGCGTGCACCTCCTTCGGCTGGCCCACGGGCCCTCGTGCGTTCGCGACACTTCCTTTATCACAATTGTATGGCACCGGGGTGGACGAGTTGGAAAGTTGTGCTAACCGGTGGGGGGTGGGGGCGGAAAACCCATGGGACCGGGGCAAGGACCGCGTGACTTTTGGTGGTGCTGTGGGGCATTGCCACGACGGAAATCCTTCGGGGCATCCGTAAAAAGATCGGACGATACAGAATAGATCCGCATGACCTCTGTGTCGGGTGCGGGTAGTTGTAGATTGAGGGAGTGTAGGCAGAGGAGGACGACGGGCGCTGTAGTAGCAGGCGGTGCCAGCGCGGGGCACAGCGGGGCAGCGCAGTAAAGGCAGGAAGGAAAGCGCAGAGTCACGGGGGAAGCGCGGGGGAGGGTCGACGAGCAAACATCGGAACAGAGTGGCAACGGGCATTGAGAGGGAAAGGAAGGGCAGGAACCCGGATGGGTTCCCGTGCCGGGTGCATGTGCCGGGTAGTGGCGGAGCGGACCGGGGGAGCAGCGGGGCGGGGACTACTGCGCTGCTGCGGCATGCGGATCGATTGTCGGAAGGGGGTATAGGAGCGAAAGACTAGTCGAACTGGATAGCAGCTCACCGGTCACTACTGGGTCCGTCGCCGCAAAGAACCGGTGTTCGTCGGAGAAGAGCAGGGCAGGTGGCGAACAGTGGGGCCAAGCGCTGCGACGGGGAGGGACACGGAACAGCCGGGGCAGAAGGTGGTAAGTGAGGGTGAAAGATGGTAATGAATCCGACCGCGTTTTCGCGCCGAATTCATTCGAAGAAGCGAGATGGCGGGGTGCAGAGTCGGGCGTGGGAAGGAGAGCACAACTCTCTCGATCCATGGTGGAATCGAGAGAGATAGGATGCCATCCTGGGGTCTTGGCCCCGGGCGAATCGAATGAACATGCTAGTTTTAGTGCTAGGTGAGCGGGGTAGGGGGAAGTAAGAATAGGGCCTGCGCGGTGGTAGCGAAGGGGGTGGATATGGCACGACGGGAAAACGTAGATCCCTCCCGTTTCTTAACAGAAACAATCGGGGAGGGAGGCAAAATGGGGGTTTTCTAGTGCTGCGAATTCGATGCTGAAGTTAGTTCTAGGTGTTAGTGGGTGAGTTCTGAGGTACAGAGGTTAGGGGCTGTGTAGATATGGCGGATGGAGGAGGAAAGGAGGGGAGCAAAATGGCAGTAAATCGATCATTTTTGACCGTTTTCGATGATTTAAGGTGCGAGACTACGGTTTTCTGCCAGGGCGAATTCGATGGTGAGCTCAGATTGAGATCTAAGTTAGTAAATTCTGTGCTACAAATAGTGGAAGTTGCGCCCAGAGGGGGCTGGTAAAAGGTTGATGTATCTAGACGTGTTTTTGCGATAGATTCATTTCATCCTTGCCCTTCCTATCAACAGAAGTAGCGGTTCTCTATCCCTCCCTGAGTACGCACGGTGGTATCTGCACCTGATAGCTCCATTAGTCTACAGTTGCATGGGGTTTTCTTTGGGAGAACCTTCCCGCGTTTTTGCAGTAGATTCACTCCTATTTTGCATTAAGACAAGGGGTGTGAGGTATTAGGAGAAAAGGGGCGGAAGGGACTGCTGTTTACTATGAGGAGTGGGAGTACCTAAGTGGCAAAGCGGTGGTCGGTGAGTTGGCGAGAGAGCTACCCTCATGTGGCATGTACAGAAGTGGGGAGGGGGACCAGCACGGTGAAGGCAAGGCGTGAACCCGCTGGCAGCGTGAAGAAGAGACGGGGTCCAGTGTTTGCAGGGAGTCCTCTCTCGCGCAGCACACAGGGATGCAGCGCAGTCGGTGCATATGTGAGTCTGTGTGGGCTGCAAGCGCGAGTTGAGTTTAGTGATTGGCCGCTGGATGGCTGCAGTGGGAAAGGCTGGGAGACCGTCAGGGAGGGTACTACTAACTGCCCTCGACTACAGTAAAGTGCTTCTGCCGACTGTGCCACTGACTGCAGGCGGGATCTGCGCTCTGCAGAGTGTGCTACTAAAGGTCTGAGGTTGTG